GTGATTTCAGCTTCTTCAATGTGATTATTTTCTGGTTCTTTCCTCGGCTGTGACAGAAAGCTGTGAGCCCGAGTCATTTAGGCACATCCTGAATCATCTCTGAACAAATCTCAAATGTACAGTTTCACAGAGTTTGGACAACTCGTTGGTCACATCAAAACACTGAAGCGATTCTGGACGATTCTGAGCGAAACTCTTCCAGGTGTTCATGAAGCTTTGATCAGTTTCTGAGCTGAACCAGCAGCTCTCAGCGTTTCTTCCAGCTGCCACCAGAGAGGTTTGACCTTCTTTCAGATAAACAAAGAAATGTTCTGAATCTGGACCGATTCTGATCCTCTTTGGACAAGTTTCGTGTCATTTTTAACACATGCTGAGTAACTCTGGCTGACGTTTGTGACTTGTTGGGTAACTCTGGACGAACCAACCGGCTTCTGACGGAGTCACGGTGACAGAACTGCTGCTCGGGTTCACAGGGTTCCTGTCAGCTGGAGGCTGAGCTCATGTCGTCTGTCGGGGTTAGAACACTTTGAACAGGAACCACAGACACAGCAGAGCGTCTTACCTGTACTGCAGGTGAGTGCACCGCCGGAGCTGATCCCTGCAAGAAAAAAAAAAGAAAGGAAGTTAACAGCTGTGATGTTTACCTTCACCCTGACGAGTTAGAAACAGGAGGTCCAGCTCTCTGACGAAGACCCTCCCAGTATGGGTCCAGTATGGGTCCAGTGTGGGCCCAGTATGGGTCCAGTATGGGTCCAGTATGGGCCCAGTACCCCAGAATGTTTCACCCCGTTTACTAGGCAGATGGTTTCTGTGGAACTTAAGTGCAACCAATCAGAGAGAGCAACTGCCTCAAGTGGCTGCAAGAGTTAACAGACGAGTCTTCATGCACCGCCAGTGGATCCCCGGTGGTCCTCACAACTACAGGAGACTCCTCAGTGTTAGCACGCTGTGTAGCTAATGTGGCTAACGTTAGCTTTGATGGTCAGAGCTCTGTGGGAACTTTAACTAAACCAGTAAATCAGGACCGGGTGGTTCATTGTTTAATCTAAACTTAACCAGCATCACTTCATCTAAACCTGATTTTATGACGCCGTCTGACAAACTCACCAAACGCAGGAGTTCAGAACCACCAGGAGCTGAGAGTTCCCTCAGATTTACTGTGAGATGATCCTCAGAGAGGAAGTCAGAGGATACAAAGTCCTGCTGTCACTCATTCATCTGTCAGTCAGTCTTCTTCCTGAAGGGGGCGGGACCAACAGCAGCAGGGGGCAGGGCCAACAGCAGCTCATTTAAAGCTACAGACACTGAAGGAGTTCAGAATAAAACCAGGATGATGGAGTCATGGAGGAACGAAGCATCTCTGACTTTGAATCTGCTGTAAACAGGAACAAGGCGGAGCTTCATTTATTTGACCAAGAATCCGTTTATACTGATGCTGAACATCAGATCCAGTCATCAGTCAGCCCCGATCATTTTAATTCCACTGAACAATCGGTATAAAGAGGAGGATCTTGTGTTTCCTGCAGAGTCAGGTCCAGAGTTTGAGCAGTGAAAGGAGGAGCTGGATCATCTGACTGCGATCAGCGACGGATCAGATCCGGGTCAGCGTGGACACAACATCGCTGGAGGAAAGCTGCTCCATAAACTCAGTGAGCGACCGTCTACCTCACTTCTGTGTAAAGCTGCATTCATGAGGACGAAAAAGAGGCTCAAACCTTTGTTGTTATATATTAAACGTGCTCACGATTTGTTCCCACCAGCTGGGGGAAGGTTGGACCCAGTGAACCGGGTCAGACGTTGGGTTCTAAAGCTGCCTCATTAACGTCACGATGAAGGACCGACCAGGTGTTTTCACCTGAGCTCCACAGCCTCCTGAGTCAACGTCCAGAGAAGCTGCTGCCTCTGAACGCACAGATTTACAGCCAACACGTCGACGACAAAATAAAGGGTTAAAAACATTTCTTCCTGTTTCTGCTGCTCAGTGTTTATTGCATCCTGCTGCGAGGCGACAGCAGAGCTCAGCGACGGATGCTCAGCTGGTTCCTACGCCGGCCGATGACGCAGAACTTCTGCAGAAGGCTCAAGGTTTCCCTGTGAAATACGGCTCAGCTCCTCCCCAGAACGCTGCCACGTTAGACCGCAAACAACCTTCATGTCCATCGTTAATCACTGTTTGTTCTCATTTTTACATGCTGCTGAGTTCACATTTAATCGTGTTAGGAGGCAACCTCACAGACATGAAGGAAAGGAACTTTGCTTCCTTCTTCTTCTGTCCAGGTTCTGAACAGACGTCTGCAGCTGTCAAGGCTTTTATAGCATCAAATAAATAATCGATGACAAAGCGATCGGAAAAAAGAACAAACGCCATCGCTGGCTCAAAACATCTCCTACGACACGCCTGAAGACGGACTGGAACAAACCGAGTCCTGAGCTAGACACGAGTTTAAAATCTGGTTGTGACAGATTAGAGCGACAGAATTCATTTAAACGAGACATTTAAAGGTGTGAAGATCAACCCGTAAAGACTCAGAACCAGCTGGTTCTTCATGAGGAGGGTCCAGGTTTATCACCTTAATGGACTTTTTCCATCATTTCTGAGCCTCAGAACTTCATCAGTACAGCAGATAGACACATGACATTTAGGAGGAAGAACACATCTGGGTTCTGCTAGAACCTGACACCAGATCAGTTCTACATCCATCCAGGTGTCTCCGTCTGAACACTGGATGTTTGACTCATTTTGGACCATGTTCAAGTCTCGCTGGATGTTTTTACGTCATTCTGGACGTCTGGAGTCTTTTAGAAAACATTTTTGACAAACATCCAAAAGTTTTTTTTTTAGGAATGTTGGACAACTTTCACGTCATCTTCAACAATTCGTGAGTCACTTTGGATAGATAACCGTCATTTTGAACGATTGTTGATGGATGAAAAACACATTTAAGCTTTGTTTAAAAACTGCGACCACATCAGTTTGACATCCATCCAGCTGTCACCGTGATGCATGCTGAGTAATTCAGGACAATTTAGTCTCATGTTGGATCATGTTCATGTAACACTGAACTGTTTGAGTCATTTTCAACAGGTTTTGATTCGTTCTAGATCATTTTCATGTCGTTTTGAAATTCTGTGTCACTTTCATGTAACTTGACCAATATTTGATGGAGAACACATCTGGGTTCTGGTAGAACCCGACCCCAGATCAGCTCTACATCTATCCAGGTGTCTCAGTCTGAACACTGGACCTGGTTCTGTTCATGTCCTCTGCCAGCAGCTGGTAGCATCAGTATTATGGGATGTCTCACAGAGAGGAGGTCGGGGGGAACCTCCTCAGATTTGGTGGATTTTAAACAGACGGTCAGAATCCGGCCGCGGCACAGCGTTTGGACTTTCAGCTGGTTTTGGTCGTCAGTGAAAAAAGCAGCTTTTACAGAAACTCAACATTTCTACAGCAGAACCTTTTCCTACGCAGTGAAACAGAGTCAGAACCAGGCGGCGCCTTTAAATGAGAAAATGAAACCGTACGAACAAACGAGTGAAGGAACAGAAACTTAAAGCGGCACCGTCACAAACTGACGCTGGATCTGGGAAACTAAAACTCACCAGGGCGGGCTTCTTGGTGACATTAGCTGCCGGCTCCTGAGCCTTCTTCTTCTTCTCCTTCTTCTTCTCCTTGTCGCCGTACGTGCCCTTCACCTTGGCGATGACCTCGGAGTCGGTCTTTGCGTACTGGATCCTCTGAAAAACAGCGGGACGTTAGCGAGGCGAGGCCCGGGCCGGCGCCGCAGGACGGGCCGTCGCCATACCTACCATGGGTTTGTTGTAGAAGGGGAAGCCCTGCAGCTGCCGCAGCGCGTTGGTGGCGGCGGCGAGCTCCTTGAAGACGACGAAGGCCTGCCCCCTCATCTTCATCGTCTTCATGGCCACGATGTCGATGATCTGGCCGAACTGGGAGAAGAGCGCGTAGAGCGAACGCTTGAGCTCTGCAGGACGAACAGGAGGACGAGTTAAACCGTGACTTCTACTGTCCGCTGAAGGGAGCGAGTGTTTTCTGGATCAGTGGCTCTAAAATGTGGTTCAGGGTTTCAAAATCCTCCCAAAAAGACAGAATGGTCCAAAATTATTCACAAATGATTCTAAATGACGCACAAAGAGTTCACAATGACACAACTTGTCTTAACTGACTGGAAATTTGACCAAAATTATTTTAAAAAATGAAGAAATAAAAATAGTTCAATGACACACACTTTGTCCAAAGATTGGTTTGTGGATCAGAGTTTCTGTTCAGTCCAAAGATGTTCAGTTTACTGTCACAGAGGAAAGAAACCAGAAAATATTCACTCTGAAGGAGCTGAAATCACAGAATAGACGGATTTAACTTCAAATTTTACTCAAACCAACAAATAAAACTAGTTTAAGATTAAAAACAAACAACAAGAAAATATGAAATAAAAACGTACAAATTTAAGTCAAACACAGCAGACAACATTCCTGATACACGCTCAGCATTACCATCGTTATGATTTAATCTTTCTCGGCTAACGGACTCATCGTTTGGTCGGAAAACATCAGAAAACTGAAAATACTCGTCACAACTTCAAAGAGTCTAAAACAGCGTCATGAGCAGCAACAATGAATGAACGTGTGAATGTTTTCTGGTTTCTCTCCTCTGAGCAGAAAACTGAAGCTCTTTGGACAGAACAAGACATTTGAGGAAACTCTGATCCACATTTTTTACTATTTTAGACACCAAACAGCCGATCAGTTCATCCAGAAGATAACGCACATATCATTTCCTGCATAAAATCAACCGTTAGCTGCAGCTATAATCAGCTCTACGGTTATGTCGAACAACAATCCTCAAAAAAATCTGACGCTTTTGAAATTAAAAAAAAGTGCAAAAATGTGCAAAAATAAAACCAAGAATTTTTTATTTTTTTTAAAAAGCTTAAACTGTTAATCTTGTGTGTTTATTTTGATCATTTAGCTTCATTCATTCACACTGACCTTCTTTCTTGACTTTGTCGTTGATGTTGTTGATGTAAATGGTGTGGTTTGGTCGGATATCCATGGTGGAGTCTGGACAGAGCAACAGGAGCTCAGGTTTAACTTCGTCAGAGGCTGAAATGCATTTGTCAGGTTTACTTGTCACAGAAACTCAACCATCCTCCACCGACTGCAGAACTCAGAGCCTCCGGATGCAAAAACCTTTTCATAAATCTGGACCAAGCAGAAGTCTGAACAAACCAGCACCGGGCTGTGATGCTGCAGGAGGAGAAACTGTGGACTGTACGTAGACGGGCACGTCTTCACAGTGGTGTCATGTGATCTTCACACAAAACAGAAACAGACTAAAGGTTTCACACATTAGAAACTGTGAACAACCCTCTAGCCCCTCTACAGCCGTCTGCATCAGCCTCTATAATCTGGAATATCTATTCATATCACAGCACGCATTCAAACCTGAGCATTATCAGCATGTTCTACATCTGCAAGTCTCTGCATAGGACCAGTTATCTCTACAGCATCCGTATTCTCTACTCACTGAAGACTCTGTGCATCATCACTATTATATTATATTAATTAAGGTTTATCTTAAGTTATCGGGTCTAAAATGCAAAGCTGCAGTGAAATCCAACCTTTTTGCTTTACAATAGAATACAGCTTTTACAATTTTAAGTGTAGTTTCAGAGCATTTAATGTTCAAAGCGTCTCCAGTCAGTTTAACATCATTAAAATTCACTCTCCTTCAACTTTGAACCAAATCAGTCTTGTTTTTTTTTAATCACTCTTATAGTTTCCTTTACTATCCAATAATAATACAGTATTAACATTTATTTTACATACCGAGTACTTTTCTTTTAAAACTGTACAGTACTGAATAAAAGACCTGATTACTTCTGTACTTGAGTAAAACATAAAAGTACTTCTCTACCGCTGGATCATTTGCTCCGGTTAGTAAAAAGGCTCTAAAACTCCCAGCGTTGTTAGAACAATGATTAAAGCTGAGGATCGTATTTTATTTAAAGTGCATCTAACAGTTGCTCAGCGTGAGCTAATGTTAGCATACGTTAACTTCACGTTGGCTAGCTACGTCCATTCATAACGTTAGCTTAGCTGTTAGCTTCCAGGCTTTCTGTTGCTTCCTAAAGCGGACAGACTCCCGGTGAACGCGTCGGCTCACGGGTTTACCGCGTCGCTGTCCGCTGCTCAGTCTGGCTGTGAACCTGTGAGAGCTGGAAGAAGTTACAAGAAAATAAAACTCACCTGGTCTCCGCTCATGTACAACAGGAACCAACAGGAACCGCTGACTGCCGCCGGCTGCTGCTGCTTTGACCGGCTCTGGCCGCTGCCGCCCCCAGCAGGCCGGGAGGAGAACTACAGGCAGTGTTTCATTCATTCATTCACCAACCTTTATTCATTTATTACATTATTCATCCATCATCTATACACCGCCTAATCCTCACTGGGGTCGGGGGCCGGAGCCGATCCAGCACCTCCGGACAACTTAAAATAGGCGTTCATGTATATTTTAATAGAGTCATCACTGTAGTTCTGCATTAGTCAGGCTCATTTATGTAATTGATAATATAGTATATAATATAGTGTAGTGGAGTTTATTGGCTAAAATGTTTAGACTAGTTAGGTTAATCTCTATTAATAATAATGTTGTAAGATTTTGGCTTTTAGTATTTAAATTAGTTGGGTCAATCTCCAACGATGATTATATCGTAGGGTCTAAATCTCAGTATTTTTAATTCGTAACACGATTCTTATTTTTCTGCGACTACAACTGTTAACAACACGTCTTAAGTTTATATTGAAATACGCCTAGTCTGTATACATGGATGTATGATATCAGCAACACCTGCTCCTGACTTCCGTAAACGTAATGTTTATATTCCCTCTATTGGCCGTCCAGAGCTAACAGGCTAACAGGCTAGCGGGCTGCTGACCGGTGTCCATGGATGTGAGCCGGTTCACGCCGGGACAGCGACGCGGTGTCAGCGGACCCTGATACCGCCGGCGGCCCTCCCCTCTCCTCGCTCCGGATCTGTGTGCTGTGTTCAGTCCGTGTTTCGTCAGGCTGCCGGTTATCTCCGCGACTTTTGCCCTCTTTCTCCCGCTGCTCGCTCGTTAGCCCGCTGGCTAATTAGCTGTGAAGCTAGCTGACCGGGAACGGACGGACCGCAGCGGGATGTGCGATGGCATCGGTTCGGGTGGCTGTGCGGGTCAGACCCATGAACAGGCGGTGAGTTACGGACAGCGACGCGGTGGGTTGTCGGTTACCGTCATGTTAGAGCGACTTTACCGTCATTCTGTGCCGCTAACTGCTCCGACAGACGGGGGAAGGTTCAGACACCTCGACCGGAGGGTGAGCGGGTCCTCCGGAACCGTGACGGCTGTTAGTCTGCGGCTCTATGGGACTCAAATGGACCGGTACCAGACCTCCGTGTGGTGTGGTGGTGCTCTGTGGGTTTCATGGCTTGTGAGTAACAGCAGGTGTTACTCAGTGACTCAAACACAGGCTCTGCTCACCTGGATGAGCCTGAGACTTCCTGCAGAGATTACAGCTAACTAACTAACTAACTAACTAACTAACTAACTAACTAACTAACTAACCAACCATAGCAGTCCCTCCTGAGTGACCGGGCAGGCCGTGGCCCTGAAGCCTGGTGGAGTCAGAGCAGTCAGGGTGTTCAGGACTGCAGTGGACCTGCGCTTTCATCATCTGGTTCTGGTACCAGATAACAGGGTGACCACATGTTCCCTGGTGCTGGTACCAGATAACAGGGTGACCACATGTTCCCTGGTTCTGGTACCAGATAACAGGGTGACCACATGTTCCCTGGTGCTGGTACCAGATGACAGGGTGACCACGTGTCATCTGGTTCTGGTACCAGATATCACGGTGACCACATGTCATCTGGTGCTGGTACCAGATGACAGGGTGACCACATGTCATCTGGTTCTGGTACCAGATATCACGGTGACCACATGTTCCCTGGTTCTGGTACCAGATGACAGGGTGACCACATGTTAGAACTATGTCCAGTTCCGAGCTGGATAAACCTTTTAAATCTTGACTCATTTCATAAAAAGTTCTGTTCGGGTGGACTTTACTTTAAAGCTGCAGGTATTTGGACAGAAGTAGTGTTTTGAGTGAAATATAAATTTAAAACTGTAACTTGTGCACTTTAACGATCATTCAGCTGCTTTGGACCCGGTAGTTCTGAGCAACCAGGAAATGTTCACGCCGGTTCTGTGGCCATTCGAAGGTTTTCTGTCACTGAAAGGTGCTGAGTCAGAAGACAAGCAGATCTTCTTCTCTGTGAATACAGACTGTGGTGTTTCTGTCGGTTGAAGTGTCGGTGATCAGGTTTGTCTGTGGATGCAGGATCTTCACAGGGAGGACTGAGGATGTTCATCATGGAGCTGGACGCTGCATCATGTTCAGTCGAACACTCGTATGTCTGCTGTCTCTGTCCTCACTTTGTTCTCTCCACCTGCGTTGTGGAGCTTCAGGGACATGAGGACGACCACAGTGTACATCTGGATAAACAGTGTGATCCAGGATCCTGTAAAGTTTAATGAGTGTCTGTTGCAGGAGGATGAATTCTGTGTTTCTGTTCAGGCAAACCGAAAACTCAACGGTTTAATTGTGGTGTTTGACAGGGAGAAGGACCTGACTGCAAAATGCATCATCAAGATGGAAGGAACCAAAACCTCCATCACCAACCTCAAGGTACGTCTGTCTGTTCTTGTTCCCCTGAGGCTGTGTTCTCCAGGTGTTGTCTAGATGTTCTGCAGGTGTTCTGCAGGTGTTCTGGTGGATCAGTTGGTCGATCCGCTCTCAACACCCCCACGTTTTCACAACTTTAACTGGTCCGACCTGATGTGGGTGTTAGGTCAGACTTCTTTAACCTTTACTCACCGTTTACTGGGCGTCGACTCCAAACTAAGTCATAACGTGTCAGAGTAGGTCTGAGGACTAGTTGTGGAGGATTAAACTAGTTGTAGATGTCTGAGGACTACTTGTAGAGGTGTGAAGACTGCTTTTAGAGGTCTGGAACTCGATTGAATGTTGTTCACTTGTGTATTTACCAGCCTATCAGCCTCATCTTAAGTTTAATTAAATCCTGTCTTCTGATTGGTTCAGCTCCCCGACGGCATCGCAGGAGAGGTGACGAGGGATCGAACCAAAACCTTCACGTACGACTTCTCGTACGACTCGACGGACTGTAAGAGCTCCGCCTTCGTCTCTCAGGAAAAGGTAAAAGAGAATCCGAACGTCAGTGACGAAGGACTAAATCCATCGTTTACTTTTTCATTCCACAGTTTCAGGGCTTTAGTTTTTTAAATATAGTTTTGGATTATTTTTTGTAATTGTAGAGAAGTTTAATGTCATTTAGGACATTTAAAAACAAAAAAGTCCAAAGTGAATCTGGGATCATTTTGGTGGTTAAACTCTGTCGTGACCCCGTCAGTACCGACTCTGATCCTGATGTGAGGTTTGTGATCAGTAAACAGAAGAATCAAACCCTCATCTTCTCCTTTGACTCGCAGGTGTTCAAAGACCTGGGCTCCGACGTGCTGAAGGCGGCTTTCGAGGGCTACAACGCCTGCGTGTTCGCCTACGGTCAGACCGGCTCGGGGAAGTCCTACACCATGATGGGCACTCCGGTGAGAGCTTACAGTGATCGATTATTGATCAGCTGCAGCAGTGGAGTCAGTGACCCTCCAGCTTAGTTTGTTTCTCTCACATGTAAGAGTTTAGAGCGAATCTGAGGCGATTTGGAGTCTTATTTTTGCGATTTTAAGTTTTTGTGTGGTAATGGTGTGAATGGGTGACTCTATAACTTTCCCCCAGAGAGCTCAGTGCGATCAGCGATCAATAGATCAGCTGTCGGTGACGCTTCCACTGACCTTCTGTCATTTTCAGATGATAAGAGTTCACCGATAACGAGTCCAAGTTCCTGCAGCCACCAAAGGCTGAAGCGTCAGCAGAGCTGTCGGGTCTGCAGTCAGCAAAACAACACATTGGTGTTCAATCAATCGATCAGCTTGTAGAGGACGTAAAAGTCCAGAGCTCTGAGTGACTGTAGCTGCTGACCTGCTCAGAGCAGGTTCAGAAACCCTGAATTAACTCATAACAGTCATTTTTTACTCTATTCCTTCATTTAATCTGTCACTGTGTGCTCACGGAGCTCTGCAGGGAGATGGTGATACTTTCCAGAGAGCTGATTGGTCAGTCAGAGGTGGTTTATACGTTGTCATCTCTACATTCCTGAGTTCTGCAATATGACATTAGTGGGTTAACGAGGTCTGCTGAGCCTAAAGTCAGAGTTTTCAGTGTCACATAGGTGTCTCTCTTTTTACCTGCTAGGTCTCCATGGTAACTGATGCTGCGGAGCTAGGTCTCCATGGTAACTGATGC